GGCTGGATCAAGGAACATGGAGCCAAGAGGCCATTGCTTCCTAATCAACGCGGCTGGATCAAGGAACATGGAGCCAGGAGGCCATCGCTTCCTAATCAACGTGGCTGGATCAAGGAACATGGAGCCAAGAGGCCATCACTTCCTAATCAACGTGGCTGGATCAAGGAACATGGAGCCAAGAGGCCACCTCTTCCTAATCAACGCAGCCGGATCAGGAAACACGGAGCCACTTGTGCTGCAAAATACCGCTCTGCCAAGACGTCATGGCTTGAATCCCGGTGGCACCACGTGTTGTGCATGCTCGCCTAGATGGCCATCGTCACGGCCTCACCGGCTGCCAAGGTGAGTAAGAGGTTCCTTCAAACGCACATTTAATGTTCCTAGGAATCTCCTTCTCTCTACAACAAAAGCCCCATCTATTCTCCTTCTCCCTACACCTGCCAAACTGGTTGCAGCTCCGCATTTTCTTTCAGCTCCCGATATGGAGATCTTCGCTGCTGCAGTGCTCTGAAGTTCGGACCCTCCTGCCTACGTTCGCAGAACCAAACACACAGACTCTTCCTACTGACATTTGCAGCTTTTAAATGTTGTGTTTCTTCGCAAAGAGGCTATAACCACCAACATACACCTTGAAAACTAAACTGCAGTATTCTAAATAACTGACAAACGTCAGCCTGCATGGGACAGGGCAGGATGAGGCACCTATATTTCTGTGTCCACGTGTGAGCCAGCTGTGTAAGTCCCCACCGCAGTCAGCGGAGATCCACTCGGCAAAATCCAGTCTGAAGACCTGCTCAGCTGAGCAATGGCTCAGCATCTGTGTCAGGATGCAATGCACTGCTTTCTTGGCTTCCTTCATCGTATCGACTCGATCCCTGAATACTACGGGTGTTAAGGCACTGGCCCAGGCTGCCCAGGGAGGCTGTGGAGTCTCCTTCTCTGGAGATATTCAAGACCCGCCTGGACGTGGTGCTGTGCAGTCTGCTCTGGGTGACCCTGCTTGGGCAGGGGGTTGGACTAGATGACCCACAGAGGTCCCTTCCAACCCCTACTATTCTGTCATTCTGTGATTCTGTAAGGCACTTAATTTGCATATAGCTAGATATCTGTAAGTGTCTTAATCCGGAGGTGAATCCCACCCTTCTGCTCTAATAAAATAAGCCAGAACATTCATTTAAAAAAATTATGATGATTTATTCATATTAATGTTAAAAATATTGGAATAATTTTAAAAGAGGATCTTTAAATTAGGAATGTGCTTCTCCTAAGGTTAGTGCACTTGGGCAATGTTCTACATTAAGAGTCAGTTTCAGAAATATGCGCAACAAAAATGAATTACGCATAGAAAAACCTCAGGTTCAGATTCTACACACAGAATAGGAGCAATAAAAGGAAACAGGATTTTATTTCAGAATCCTTTTCCCACCGTTTACTTTTAGATACCCACGTTGAGAGTCAAAGACCTGCCCCATTTTCTTGACGAGTAGGTTCCACTATTTTTCGTTGTAAAACAGAAGAGACTGACCTGTTCTGCCGCCTCTCTTTTGACGTTATAGGTATCCAAGTGCTCTTGGAGCTCCAGAACGCTGAACTTCAGTGTTTCCAGCAGGCCACAAGACATGAGCTGAAAGAGAAAAGCAGTCACCTCTGTAGTCATCTAACATCTGACTATGACCCATACAGTCCAATATCGAAATGATGAAATATGAAATTCCACACTTGAAAAAACAATCAAAGCAGAGCTGGGTGCAGACCGTTCACGACACCTTTGGGTTAGCATTCTAACACTTGTAGCTGTATCAGTTAAATCAGCGAACAGCAGTTCTGATTCCAAAATGAGATGGGCAGCACCTCGTTAACATCTGAGCGAGAGACTTGGAAGGGATTTTTCAATCTTTCAAAAAGAAGAAGGATATTTGATACACACTCTGCAGCTCTGCCTGCCGCGGGCAGATAGGCACTGCTGGATTGCTCCTGCAGCAGCCGAAGGGGTGGCCAGGGAGGGTCACTGCCCCTTCTCAACGTACCAACTCTACAACCCGCACCTGGAGGAGCCATCACCGACAAAGCAGGAACCGCTGGATATTGGAAGAGTTTTCCACCATCAATGATGTCACCTTTTGCGTCATAGCTTCAAAATCTCTTCTTTCCCCTCTCAGGGGCTGCTACCTCAGCTTTGCTCCATGCTACTTCTCCCTGTAGTTTTATTTCCACTCAGGTTTTTCTTATTAATCCTGCTCCTGTCGCGTCCCGTAACAATCATTTCTATGACGCGACGCTTCCTGCCTCGCAGCGGTCACCCCCTGCGCACGTTACGAGCTCTGCTCTTTTCTCCAGGCCCCGTCACCTCCTGGCCAGCTCCAAAGTACAAGCACAAGACTGAAATTGTGACAGAACTGTGGCATGGAGACTCGCAGCACCCCGCATTAGGCAGGCAGGGGTGTGAAGGATGCCGACATGTTTCTCCAAGCGCCTCAAGCTTGTTATTCGACTGCCGTATCGCGACACTGCTGCTCCCAGCCTCGGCGTCCCCGTCGGCCAAGCAGCACGCTACGGCTCTGCGGCACGATGCCACTCCACGCTCAACGCACGCGACAACACGGAATCATAGAATAGAATCGTAGAATCATCAAGGTTGGAAAAGACCTCTGAGATCATCAAGTCCAACCGTCAGCCCAACACCCCCATGCCTGCTAAACCATGTCCTGACACGTTTTTTGAACCCTTCCAGGGATGGGGACTCCACCACCTCCCT